ATATTTATTTACTAAAGTTTTTTTAGTAAGTAGATTGGTTTACGGTATATATATTTTACGGTATAAATAATTAACTAATATATGTAGGCAAAGAACGCTGGTATCTTACATGTGTCCTGCATATTGATGTACTCGTAAGTACAAAAAATATTTGTTTTGTTTAGTCGCTTATTTAGTTAATACAAGAAACACAGATAGACTAAATATAATAATATTAGAGAGCTATATAGTCGTATTGAAATGTCGAGTACATTAATATAAATTTATTTTTGTGTGTAATATAATAGCTTGTCGCAACACACACATACACGTTTTATAGCATTTAATCAAAACTTGTTATTCAATTGTCCTAATGGATCATCTGGATGTAGAAGGCGTGAGCCATTGCTACAATGTTCCTCGTGAGTGTTCCTATTTAAATTTCCTTTTCCTGCTACATTAAACAAGCTTCCCCTCTTCTCATACATAATTCTGTAATAAAATTAAATATGAGACAGGCCAGTATTGAGCGAAATTTACAAAGATTAACTGCTTTTCGACGCTAATGTAAATCCTCGTGAATATAAAACGATGTTTACAAATTATGTCAATGAGTGTGTTTAATATATTTTGATGTAAACAGCTGTCAGGAAAATCACTGTAATTTTTTACGCCAACATACTATAAACTGCCGTGTGGTCTTGGCATAGAATAAGCCACTCTTTCCTTCCCATGGTTACCTAACTGTGGTTGCTTATCTACCTGCCAAGCGTGGCAACTACTGGCAAAACCTTCCTTTTTGGAAGAGGCGTATGTTCAGCACTGGATAGTAGACGGCTGATTGATAATATTATAAATCCAAAAGTAGTATTTCATAGGTATACGTACTCGTATGTAACGTTGGGTAAGTAACTTAATAAAAGTTCACTGACCGGACACATGTGAAGTTCTTGAAAATCCTTCGCATCTGTCTGGTCAGTCTTGTTTTTATTATGAAAAGTAGTACTCGTAATTATTTATAATAAAAAAAAAGGAATTTTTAAAAAGTATTTAGAAGTAGAAATTTTGGTGATCTAATTCAATATCAATCAAGTTGATATAATTCAATATCAATCGTAGTTTTTCTAACTGAATCACCACCGTAGAAGATTGAAAAGCTTCTATAAAAAAAAAAATTATACAAATTAGTTTACATTATTAAAATATGTGTGCGTAAATATTATAAAAGGTATTTAGATTTAGGTCGTAAAGAAAAAAAAATATCGACAACGTTTTCACACCGTGTCATTGTCTTTTACGGTTATCGGTAAAAGTGTGCGATGTGAAATCTATATTTTACGATTCATAGATGAATGAATGAATTTTCTCGTTAAGTGGTTTCACAAGAGAATGGATGTTTTAAATCGACAATGACTTAGCGTTTATCTTCACTAAGTAAAATTTACATTGTCATTATGTATTTTACAAATCATGAGATTGGTATTTCAAGAAAATCGTAAGTGAAAATAGTACCGTATCCAATATCAAGAGAAATTCAAAATATATAAAAACTAAAATAGGTACTGTAATGCATTGTACGAGGTCTGTCCGGAAAGTTCGTATAAAAGTGTTCTGGAATGCGAGAAAGAGGAGTGGGGAGGCCAGGTAAGCGCAGGACCCCTTCCTTATGTCCCTAACAATGCTTCAGTTCTGGTCTGACCGCCGTGCGGTGCGAACTGGCTTGTCACGCCATCTGTGAAGTTACCTCTTAACGAAACCCCGTCGGCATGGAGCCCGCTTCCGTTGAAGAGCAGCGCGTCGTAATCAAGTTTCTCTCGAAACTCGGCAAGAATGGCCGTGAAATTTTTGCCGATCTCAGAACAGTTTATGGGGATGATGCTGTGAAGGAACCAACCGTCCACAAGTGGCTAAAAAGATTCAGAGAGGGCCGAGAAAGAGTTCGATGTTCGGGGGATTGTCCATCAAGAATTCGTCCCTCCAGGCCAGACAGTTGATGGAAAATTCTACGTCGATGTGCTCAGACGCCTCAAAGCTCGTGTGGCACGAGTTCGTCCAGAATTGGCGCGAGAGGGGCGTTGGATTCTTCACCACGACAATGCCCCTGCCCACACCTCTCTTGTTGTCCGTGAGTTTTTGAGTAAAAATTCCATTACGGTGACCGAACACCCCCCTATTCGCCGGATTTGGCCCCGTGTGACTTCTTCTTGTTCCCAAAAACCAAATTGGTACTTCGGGGGCGGCATTTGGGGGACATAAATGAGATAAAAAAAGCTACGACGGGGCAGCTGAGAAACCTACAACCAGAGGACTTTCAAGGAGCCTTCTCACAGTGGAAACGGCGTTGGCACAAGTGCATTATGTCACAGGGGGAGTACTTTGAAGGGGATAAAATTGATTTACCTGAATAATTGTAAAATAAAATTTTTAAAAAACTTTTATACGTACTTTCCGGACAAACCTCGTATAATAGTATATATAAAGACTAATCAACAGTCAGTCCATTATTTAACTTTCTTTAAAACTGATTATTCAAATAAATTGCTTGTTGACTGTGAGATTATCGCTTGAACGTCGATTACAAGCTTGGGCTGTTAGCGTGTTTATCATGCGTAGTAAAATAAAAACAATATTTTTAGATATCAGATTAGACGATAAATTTGTTAAAAGACGATATATTATATTATTCGTCATTTGCCATTTATCTTGGTCAAAGTATTCGAAAGCGTTTATTCATAATTGAACATGTGACATTTTGCACGTGTCCCAATTTTTTTCTCTTCCGATACTCGACTGGTGGCAGGTGCCGAAAAACAACTGTCATTTTGTTGTCCGCATTATCTCTAAAGGAAGTAAATACATATTAACTGTTTGTTTACAAAAAAAAATGTTTAAATTATTAATATTTCTTTTTGAATTATCGTATTGGACAGGAAAAGTATATTTCAAAGATATTTTACAAAAAATATGTCTTTTTTTATAAATTTTAGTATGTAAGAATTTTATTTTAGTCAAATAAAAGTTTCAACGCATTTTATTTTACAAAATGAATACATAAGAACTTATGTTCTAACTAAAACACAAATGCACAGAAACTATAGAGTTTCATGGAATTTTGGTTGTGTATGGCTATCTATCGCGGATCATTTTTTATTAATAGAATAAGATAGAAATTTAAATAGTAAACTCGGCTTCGAGGTGGAGAATAGATAGAATTTAAAGAACTTACGAAGAAATTTTCTTTATTGTTTTTGTTTTGCCATGTTTAGACTTTTTCACTAGAAGAAAAAAGGCCGCAAGTACAATTATATTATTAATATCACTATTAGTGATTTATATGTAATATTGAATAAAGTGTAATACCTATATTAATGTTTTATAAAAACTACGGTATGTAATTTATAGCTTCACTTATAAAGCGGTCTTATGAAGGGTTTATTACGTAATAAACTTTATTAACGTAAGCAATATAGCTTAGAGGGGTTGATTGCTTGGAGTTTTGTATTATAAATATTTATTGGTAGACCACTATATTTGGAAAATAATGTTGTATTTGTCTTAGGTATATTAATAATTAAATAATAAGATTCTGTATAAATATTAAATTAGACCTGATATCAAGGAAGAAGACAGGCCGGAATACAAAAATAGGATCAATCAGGATCAAACATAATAAATCGCACGGTCACGTGAACCGTTTGGTAAGAATTATCCAATTTTGGATTGTTATTATGTAATCTTTCTATTTCATAGTACTATTTATTTGCTTGTCGTATATTAATTGAATTTATTATGGTTTAAATGAGTACCTATATGTATGTCAATAGGAAAACGAGCTTTCTGCTTTATAAATTGAATACAAATTACTTTTTCTCTATCATCAATGACTTTATGTATATTACACGTGTATGTGTTTTCAAATATAGGTAATATTTTACATTTTTAATAACTTACAGGATAATTATTAGTTTTGTGCAACGAGGTCGATGCTTATAATTGTTATGAATACATTCACCAGCTGCACCTTGCATCTGAGGGTGTCTGTGTTCCCACACCCCACATGTTCCTAATCTTTACAGAGCAACCAATTTATTTTGATCCTCCCTCCCTCGTAAGACCTTTGCGAGTGCGTTAGCATAAAATTTTGCTCTTTGAAGTGGCGTAGATCATTTATAACTGGATAGATTCATGTGAACTTTCCACTCGTTTGTTCACACGCACGCTGTTTTAATGGAACCTATTTACGGGTTGTTGTATCGGGCAATATTTTGTCAATAAAGCAATGAAATGTTATTTCTTAACTTTTTTTTCTCTGATGTAATTTCAGTAGCAGTGAAAGATTGCCATATGGTAAAAGGTCGTTTTCCTCACAAAAACAAATTTAGAAGAAATATGGCGTTTAAAAGTTGTGTTTTGTGAATTTACATAGCATTTGAGTCTAAATACGTCCATATAAATAGTTTGATTAATATATTTACTAAAAATTCCTTTAGATATAAATACCAGTATAGCAATATTATCATGTTTTTTCCTAAGAGAGAGTCACTATAAAAGTTGTTTGCATGGATATCTCCATCTCTTTTATACTTACAAAGTATTTCTGTCGCCATATAGCTATTTGGCAGCAAAACATTTTATAATAAGTAACCCAAGGTTTTTTTTGGTAAATCGTCAGTACATATATTATATTGAGTTAAAATGTTTAATTACAATGACAGTCTAAAGAACCCTTATATTTGATGCTTGTCAATCGCTAAGCCTGTGTATCTTATATATTAGGAATTAGAATTCAGACTCCCTTTAGTGAATTGTTTTAAATACTATATGGTTCAATGGAGCGTGAAGGGCGATTTAGGTCGTTCTCACACGTTTTATTTAGTATTTTACGAATTTACGTTTACTAGCAAAGTATTCAGAAATTCGTATTATATTAAAATTTCTGAATTTAATAAGATAAAGTTGACACGTAATATATAAGGGCTATACATATTTTTTGGTTATTATTATTAAAAATATCTACGTACCGTTATTCAATGTACTCTCATTTGTATAATCTGAAAAGAAAAATAATGCGATTACATTTTCGTTATAAACAAAAAAATATTGTATTACAGTACCAATCTCACTGTAAATAAAAAAAAAATCAATACTAAGTCTTATTTTTAGAACCTTATTGGTTAAATGACAACATTCGTGGTGTAATTGTATGCACGTAAATTTGCATAAATAAAGTACCGACTTCGATTCTCTACCATGTCTAATTAGGAAATACTTTTATAAAAATTGGCTTGAATTTGGGCGTTTTGGGTTGCACCACCAGTTGTCGTTATCTAATTTCACGTAACAAATTCTTTTTTAATTTAAATATACGTCGTTAATTGAGTACCAACTTCTTTTTGAAGTCATTTAATTACTTATTTAAAAAAAAAAAAAGATTTCGAATACGATCTTTGAATACGAAAAACAGTTAAAATATTTTGTTTTATTTATATAATTGAATGATGAATACATATATTTTATAGTTATAATTCATGTAAAATTGTATCACGTGGTAGATTGATATTCGAATTAGAAAAAAAAAATAAAGAAATTATTTTCTATAGATTTGTATATAGTTTGCGTAAACCGTGGTGAAATAAAATTACGTGATATTTTATTATACAATATATTATTTTTTACCAAATGATATCTCGTAGTTAACAGTTTATGATAATGTCATTATTATCTATGTATATCTATGCTATTTGCGTATGAAACGATTTTATATAATTTTAGTGGTAATTGAAATTACATGATATTTTCCAACATATTTCTATTTAAAAAATGATATCCCGTAATAAACAATACATTTTATAACGCCATTATTATTTGTTTGCGTAAAATGAGATTTTATTTAATTTTCGTGGTAAATGAAATTATGTGATATTCCAAACAATTCTTATATATGAGACGACGTTCTGTTTAACGCTTGGGTTACATAAATTATGCGTAATAACAATTAACAGTATGTGTAATTACAGACTGTGTCTCATATAAAATGTAATTAATTGGGGCTGAAAGAGGAGTGATAAAACATATTAATTTATAGGGCTATATATATTGGATACAGGGATGGGCTTTTATTAGAATAATAATTGTAGTAACGTGGGTTGGGTGAATTGTAGAGAATATTGATGTTATATTACAGGTAAGTAAGATGATCACAGAAATAATTATTATGCTCAGCGAAATGTGGGCATGTCTGGAAACTCGTGTAACCTTTGCCGCTACAGCGATGGTTGACAAATGTCTCTGACACTCCTATTAGAAATTATCTTGAGCATATTTATATTATTTTATTATCACAGAAATTATAATATAATTTAAAATAAGAAAATAAATCTTTACATTCTAAAAGAAATAAATTCGCTTAATTTTATATACGCACTATAATCGCATATTAGTAAGGCCATGTGCGAGTATTTTAAACTTTAGACAACCATTAAATAAGCGTGGGTGTAATTATGAATAATATCTTTTTAATTACTTTGTTGTTAGAAATATTTAGACATGAATTAATTACTGTCTGTCCATTATAGAACAAATTAACAAGTATTAAGTAGACTTATGATTAAAACGCGTCAAAAGTTACATACTCTAATGAATCAAAAGTTTTAGTGTGTACATAAGAGATTCGGAATTTCAGTACGAGACTCGAAATATACATTGAAGTGGAAAACTTCAGATTTCAATTTTGTTTCTTAACAACTTCGCTTATTAATAAAGTTATTGAATGAGTAACAAAGCCCGTAACTTAAACATTACTTAGGCATTATTCAACTCAACCACAGTGTATTGTTAGCTGCAAATCCTTGAATTTTATCACTGCCTTATTTAACGTATCATTTACTTCGTGGGAATCTAGAATTACTAAATAATATTGTTACTATGAGGCTTAGTATAGAGGAACATGTGTATAAAGGAGCACAATGTATGTATTCAACTTGTAAACAATGGAAAAGTGAAAAATATTATGCAAGCTGTGTTTTGGTTTGAAGGGTGGGATATGGCGTGAATTTACTGGGTACAGAGGAATAACACCTGAGTCCTCAGGAATGGCAACGTATGGGGGTATCATGGACGAAACAGTATACTCTGTTATGTTCATGGTACTGCTCATGTCTATAGGCGACGGTTACCACTTTCCATCAGGTGGGCCGTCAGCTTGTTTGCCATTCTAAGTTGTATAAAAAAAAAGCTCTTTTCTGGTACTGAAAAAGTGTTACTGTAGTTTAATAAATAGATATAATAGATTGATTTTAAAAATGATGTCTGTCAAAATTATAATGACACGACAACAATATATAGACATAGTCCTCATGAGTGATTAGAAAATAAACGTATATGATATTAGTAAGAATGTTATTTGAAGAGAATATTTTACATTAATGTACAAACATTAGTGTAAAATATGTCATAATTTTTTAAGCGTATAAGGCGTATAAGCCTTATTTCATATAAGTACTTAACAGTATTTATTTGAATTTTGTGATAGGTGTCAACTGTTTGTGAACGCATAAAAATATTTTAATATTTTTATGTGAATGTTCTTACACATAAGGTTTATACATTACTTGGTGTAAATATACAAACTTTGCAATTCCCTTCTCTTATAAGTAGATAATGAAGGTGAGTGCAAAGTTCCAAAGTCATTCCAAAGGCTAATATAAAGACAAATCTTAGGGAAGCTTTTGTTTAGTTGTTATGTTCTTTTTTTATTTACTGTCTACTTTGGCTTTTTGCGGGTTTCGTGATTCACTATTTAATGTATCCTATATATTAAGATATAGTATATTTTACCTATATACTAAATTTAATTTAAATCCGCTTGACCATGCTTTTATATTTATATTATCATTAGGATACTACATTATTGGATACATTTTTTATACAAGTTAGAAGTAACAAGTTGACAACCTGACTGATGAAAAGTAGTAACCGTCGCGTATAGATATGAACAGTACCATGGACATAACAGAGTATATTGCGTTGCCCATAATAACCTTTGTACGTTGCCATTTCTGAGGACCAATGTCTCTGTACCTTATATTTTCATTGATATAGCCCATTCTTTAAACCGAAACACATCCATGTAAATACAACTGTTTCATGACAGAAACATGACGAGCACACAACTTTTGTACAAAATCTCTTTGGCACTCATGTTACTCATATTGTCTTTGTATGTATCATTGTTCCACTGGTGTTTCACATATTACTAAGAATTCCGTCTTTTATGGCTGTATTTCGGTTTGAAGAGTAGGAATTAAATATTATAGGACAAGTATAGCACCCCTAATTTATTTTGATAGTGCTTCGGGTGCTTATTTTTCACAGCAGCAAGAAAGTGATATGTATTAAGTATTGCGGATTACCAGTCCCATTATTAGCAATATATCCAATAGGGTCGACCTCTACGTGGTTCGTTCTGGAAAGTATCTTACTGAAAACCAGGTGTATTCAAATGTATTTGCAATGGGCTAACTGATCTGCCTTTTCATTCTCACCTATCATCCTTCATTGGTGCCCCGCTAGCGTATATCGTTAGCGCAGGCGGGGTTACCATTTCATTATCATCCATTATAAAAATAAAAAAGTCGTCAAGAATAGCAACGTATGAAGGTTACCATGGACGTTACAATATGTTTTGTGATGGCTATGGTACGTACTGTTCATGGCTGTAAGTGACGGATACTACATTCCATAAAGGCGGCTTTTAGTTTTTTTGCCATTTCAAGAACATTGAGAAGACTGGACGAAATTTAATTTGTTTACCAGTAAGTGTGATAACAACATTATTATATGTGAACTTTACCGAGTTGAAATCATGTTTATATCTACTCGTTAGAAAGTACTTATATCTATATAATAACCATAAAAACTTATGATGTTTCTCATAACTTGTTTTCCTATAAGGACTTCCTCTAGAGAATTTCGAAATTACGAATAAGTTCACAAAAATATAATGTTTCATACGAGTTGGCAACAACATCGTTGGAAATGTTTTTATACATACATGAAAATATTATTACTACAATCTAAAGAAAAAGTGCTCTTATTATGTCATATTCTTATTAAAGCAATATTGCTTCATTAATACTTAAGGGACTGATAGAAGTTAATTTTGTCAACCGACTTTATATTATAGAGATTAATTCTCTTCTTTTATAAAAATCGCTATAATTTAATTGTATATTTATAACTAATTGAAAATCACGTCTTTATAAATTTTTGCGAACACATAATTTTATGAATTAGTTGCACCGACAAGAGGAAACTCTTAAATGAAAAAAGAGATAAATTTTTGCAAACTTGTCTTGAATTGTAAAAGAGATTCTATAACATAGACTGACTATGATCTAGCAGTAAGTCGAAGTTCATTAAAATCTGCTCAGTAATTTAATGATTATGTGACAATAAATTCGTTATTGAGTAATCAGTATTAAAACATTATTACAAACTTTCAGATTTATAATAATACGAGTACAATTTGATTGGGATAAAAAATAGCCTATATCCTTCTCCTTATATAGTTTCATAGTGATTGACTAAGCTGTTAAGGTATCAGGAGATAACAAATTCATTTTCACATTTAAAATATTATTGAGTATTAGTAGGATGCTATAAGTTTAATCTATTATAAATGTCAATAAAATATTGTACATAGATTTTGATAAAAAAAAAAAAAAACTATCTTCAACAGACTTGAAAAAACAAAACAAAAAATATGTCGTTTGTTTTTGTGGTATAAAATCTGTTGGTATTTGTAATGTTTACTTTTTAAGTGAGAAAATAAATAATTATCGAGGTGAACAGACGTACAAATTAAGTGCAGTACCGCGGCTTTATTGCTAAAAACGATCAATTGTAATGTATGCGTATTATAAAATTACTTTGTGTTGTGTTTTCGATTAATATTTATGTTCGTTCAATAAATATTCATGTTCATATCTGTATTCATTTGTCTTTACCAAATCATTATTTTATATTGTTATATGGCTAGTATAAAAATTAA